CTTTGGCCCCAAGCTTATTTCCTTCGGTTCAGCCAACAACTTCAGAGCCCAGCTCAAGTCCAAAGCCCACTATATCACCCAGCGTACAGCCCAGCGTACAACCGACAAGGAATATTCCAAGTGAAATCCCGAGCTCCAGCCCTACTCTGCAGTCTCCTACATCACCGATGCCTAGTTTAATCCCCACCGAAACTCTTAGTGATAGGCCTTCCAGTAATCCTTCTGTGGCTCCTTCGACATTGGTGAAACCAAGCTCAGTGCCAAGTTCCATCCCTACTTCTATGCTTAGCTCAACTCCCAGCTCGAAACCAAGTACATTGGAATCTGTCGAACCTTCGACTAGTGTAGTCCCTACGCCAGGGCAAACTGGACAACCAAGCACGAACCCTTCTGTTACACCCTCTGCAAGTCCTTCTACAGTTGAAACATTGGCGCCATCTGTCGAACCTTCAACTAGCCCAGTCCCTACTCCAGGGCAAACTGGACAACCAAGCACGAACCCTTCTGTTACACCCTCTGCAAGTCCTTCTACAGTTGAAACATTGGCGCCNAGCCCAGTCCCTACTCCAGGGCAAACTGGACAACCAAGCACGAACCCTTCTGTTACACCCTCTGCAAGTCCTTCTACAGTTGAAACATTGGCGCCTTCAGCCGAACCTAGTTCTGAACCGACCTTTGGCATCTTTGGTGATGAGTCTGAAACTAGTGCTCGACCAACAGATGCCGTCTCCACTTTACAGCCTAGTCCTGCACCCTCCACACAAAAAAGTGAAAATCCCACAGAAGAGATCGATCGTGACAGTCAATCACCTACCGAAACATCTTTTCCAAGCAAGAGTCCTTCGACACCTCCTTAAACGCGAAACTTCTAATTAGTTTCTGATTTGAAAAGATTGACATGTGCGGTGCATTTTCACTACATGTTATGAAAAGTGTACAATGAAATATTGCCATGTGATAGACGTGAGAAGAAGTGTTGCAGCAGATGATCGTTGCGAAAGAAAAAATAGATGTAATTGAATCCATGAGATGAAAATCAATGCAGTGCAATACTGCATATATTTTCAGAATTTAAAAAAAAAACACTACTCATGATTTTGCTAACTATAAATGAACGAATACGTAATGCAACGTTAGAGCTTCTTTTTCCGGGTTGCAAAAGACGTAATGGAAGGCACATGCGATCCGTCGAAGTGCTCGTTTCTGTGCATTGAGCGACTCCGACGTTATTCACGAAGTCTGTTGTAGTCGGAACTACGTACCAAGCAAACAGCAAACCAAAACATCATAACGTGTCTCCACCTCCCAGGTTTTTATTCGTACCGTGCCTAACGTGCACATGGACTCTAAAAATCTCAACAACAGAAAGTCCGTACTAATGTACGTTATGTACAAGCCATCCATACCTTCGATACTGCGTACTCAGTACTCATCATACTTTGTACCGTACCTGGTACGAAGTGCGAAACAAATCAATTCCACCGCGCATCTATCGTAATAGTACGAGTACTGGTACTCGTAGTATCTAACAAGCAGTTCACGTGATCCGAATTGAGATAATCATGGAAGTCGAATAGAATAAAAAAAGTACCAAAATAGTCGTTATTCGACTGGAATTTACTGTAATTTACTATTTGATGACTTTTCAGATTTGCTACTGCATGTCCTCGGAAAAACTCTTGCGATGGTCATTATTTACGGAGCCGTGAATTACGAAGCTGATTACGAAGAACAATCATTTTATCCAAGTGCGGTGCAAGCGTTCATCCTCTGTCGTTCAGAACAAAAGCTGTCACATCAACAAGAAGATCAAACCATACGGAAATAGATCTATTGTCGTGTGTTGCTGATAGCAGTACAGTAAGCGATAACCAAACACAACTGCATTGAAGACTGGACCACAGATTCCGGTTTCAACGGAATTCATTCATTTGCAGAGGAACAAAAAAGAACTTGTCCAAATAAAAGAACAACTGCGGTGAGATAGCCTCACGAATTACAAGCTCAAAGAGCTATTTGGTCGGCCAAGAAGTTTTAGCACGGCCATCGAACCAAAGAACAAGCGACAAGTCACATACATCAACAGAAACAGAAACAGAAACAACCATGGACTGTGTATCTCAAAGAGCAGGTTTCAAACAAAACAGTGGGATAGACCACTGTCTGCGGGCGTCGTCGCCGTCTCGGGTGGCATCTTCCGTCTTGTGGCTGGTCCAAGTTTTCCTCGTTTTGATGTGCTATCGCGTGGCAGCGGAGGAAGCTATCGCTGCCCCCACCGCCGGGGGGCGCTCGTCGAATAGCAACAACAGAGACAGCAACAGCAATTTTGTTCGGCGAAGGTTGCAAGACGAGAAGGAAAACGACGGGGGGGGGAATCAGAAGACAACACGAAAGGAGCCACTGCGGATACTGTACACAATCACGACACTCGCAGAGTATGACGTTGGAACGAGAGCTACTACGAAGGTAAGGAAGCATCCCAATTCAATGCAACGCAACGCAACGCAATACAGGGATGTCTGAAAAACTGACAACTGATTGTTCTATGCACCGTGCTATGCTGTGTCATTCTGTACCTCACGATGCGCCGACCTCTATCGCAAAACATACACAATAAAATACGAACGTCAAAATTTTCTGTTGCGTCACGCACCATTCTTCCTTGTGGGACCATTAATATTGCAGGGCTTTGACCGATTGAAAAATCTTTTGGTGCCAGTCGTAAAGCAAGGTGTCTCTTCCATGACCAAAAAGGGCTACCATGTGGACCTCTGCATCATCTCGCATTATGAAATGACCCGCAAGGACGAAGTTGTGGAATGGCTGAGAGCCGTCGAACCGGACATCTCTGTGATCTTTTGGGACAATGCGGCTCCCGTCTCGTACGACCCGATGAAGAGGCCGGTCGATGGAAAGAACAAGAACGCAAAGMTGTGGGAGAATACCCTTGGGCTCGCTAGACAACACCGCTTTGTTGTCAAGGACAACCTCTTCGAGTACGACCTCTTTCTAAACTTTGAGGATGATATGGTTCTGAACGGGGACATGGTCGAGAACTATCTCGAGATGACCCAGACCCTTTACAAACTTCGAGAAACCGCACCCGAGACGGTCCCGAGCGACCAGCTAAATAATTTTTACGGGACCCTAACGAAAGACCAGCTGAAGCGGGCATACCCCGGGCTGATGCGCGTGGAGGTCCTCTTGGACGAGGACAAGTATGGGACGCAGACCGAGCTGGATCCGGTGCCCGTCTTTGCTGACAAGCAAGACATCGATCCAAGGCACTGCTGCCACATCGAGGACTTTGCAGTCAGCGAGAACCGGCCGAAATCGCTGGGGAGCGACAAGCTATTTCTGTGGGAGACCAACGTGAGTTGATTCTTAGTTTTTGGGATTCTTTTTGCTTTGCGGCGGTGTGGTGTTCCATTTTGTTGTGTGTTGTGCTGTGCTGTGCTGTGCTGTGCTGTGCTGTGCTGTGCTGTGCGGTGCGGTGCGGTGCTATCCAGTTGCACAAACGGTACTCGTAGTTTTTGTCAGTGTTTCTCACTCTCCCACGTTTGTTTTTATGTAAAAATTCCACCGATTGCAAACTCGACTACCCAATCACAATCACGACGACAAAAACGTAACTAAACAATCCTAATCCCAACGAACCAAACTAAAACTAAAACACGGACCAAGATTGTCGCTCTGGGGGTGCGGCACGTCGACGAACTCGGCTGGGTAACCCTGTTGCGTGGCCCACGGGCCCGGCAGGGAGAGACGGGACTGACCATCTCCGATTTTTGGAGCGGGACGCAGAAGTATTTTGATTCCAAAACGAGGCGACCGCCGCCGGGCTCCTTCAACCACGTCAACAATGAGGGGGGCTGGATGGGAACCCGGCAACAAATATGGGAATGGCACACAGAGATTTGCTTGGGTGGTAAGTGTGGAATTTGTGTGATTTTGGATGGTAGAATAGTTTCAGCGTGGTCATTGAACATTACCAAGAGTGCGTTGACATTGCAGTTTGTTGTCGGCCAAGAGCATTGCTCAGCTAACCAACGCCGGTTCATTTTCCCAATCTTTCTCTGCGACATCAACAACAGGATTTTTGCCTCCGTTTGATTCACCACATTACAATTATGTAAGTTGAGTAAAAACAAATGATCGTTCGTTGCGTCGATTCGTCTCGATCCATTATGCTCTCTCTGTATCTGCAGTTTGCACTTACAATAGATACCGCTTGCATTTTTGTTTTTCGTTGCCTTTCCCGTGGCGTGAAATGGCGCGGGATAGGATGGCCTTGACCCCCGGAACGTCGAGTTTTGGTCCGGTGGTCTGAATTTGTTCACGGCACGCCACGCCTGCAACATGCAACGACTCGTCAGCCTAGATCCTGACAAGTTTTCGAAGCAACTCATTTATCACTCAGCCAATAACAAGCAGCGGCAACTGCACGGAAAGAGGCATACGTTTGTCAAAATCAATGATTTGTACGGGCAGCTTTTGACCGTGAGCAAGGATGCCGAGGAGAAAATGGACGGAAAGTAGCAAGAAGCAAACCAACTCCTTCGAGCACTATCTTTCGGTGTTAGAGCAGCACTATCTTGCAGTCTCGACAGAACCCGAAAAAGCTGCGGTACCGGTAGGGGTTGAATACAATGCACGTTGTCTATATTTAACGACTCAACCAAAACCTAGGCCCAGAACCCCAAAATGCAAACACTTGGTACAGCATTTAGTGTCAACATTCTCATTATATTGGTAAAAATGCAATAATCTCATATTATTCAGAATCCTAGAAAAAACACAATACAATACCGTAGATAATATTACAATGACAAAGATGAACAGGGATCAATGCTGAGAGTCGCGTCACGTGTGAGTGATGGCACCAATACTGATTCCAGAAAGGTGGATCCAGAAATAGTACTATTTTGGCCCTGATTGGTCTGGATTTTGTGATTTATGACAAAAAAAGAATGTTGACTTGATTGGCATAAAATGTTAGTGAGGAATTGATACTGCTGACCCATATTCGTGGTGTTAAGATATATATTTCATGTAGTACTAGCTTTGGCAAAAATACTAATACTGCACACAGGAGGACCAAAAAGGTACTATTTTTTCACTGATAGGTCTGCATTTTATGGTTGATGACTGAAACACTTCCTTGACTTCTTTATTGGCATTCATTGTTGGTGCAAATTGAAACTGATGGCATATTTGTGGTGCTGCAAAATATCTTTGATCAATTGATGGCACCAATTCTTTAATAGAACTAATACTATTTTTGCACTACTAGTCACCAGTCTGGATTTTGAGATTGAAGACACAAGCACCTGTTTGACTTGATTGCCATTAATTGATGGTATTCATTTGATACCACTTTCCTGATATTTATTCATGCTGCTACAGTCAGCTATCTTTGATAAAGTGATTGTACAAATAGTAAAACTAACCAGATGAGGTGGAAAATAGAAAAACTACTATTTTGCCAGTGATCAGTCTGGATTTTGAGATTGATGACACAAACACTTTGTTGACTTGGTTGGCAGTAAATATTGGTATTGATTTGATACTTCTTTCCTCCTCCTCTATTTGTGATTCTGATTGGGTTGGATTTTTTGATTGATGACACAAACACTTTCATGACTTGGCTGGCAGTAAATGATGGTATTGATTTGATACTACTACCCACTATTTGTGGTGCTACATTCTATCTTTGATAAAGTGATTGTAGAATTAGTAAAATTATGCAGATTTGATGCAAATATAGAACTAGTAATACTAGTACTAGTACCAGTATTACTAGTAGTACTAGTTCTAGTACTAGTACTAGTACTAGTTCTACTAGTACTAGTTCTACTAGTACTAGTTCTAGTTCTAGTTCTAGTTCTAGTTCTAGTTCTAGTTCTAGTTCTAGTTCTAGTACCAGTACTAGTACTGGTACTATATTTGTCACAATCAGTTGTTGTTGACTTGATTGACAGTAAATGTTGGTATTGATATGATAAGTTACTAGTATAGTTGGATACTTCTTCTGTCCTCTATTTGTGGTGGTGCTCCTCCACTCCAGCATCTTTGATAAAGTGATTTTACAACTACTTAAGAACTAATTAGTAGACAAGATGCAAAAATAGTACAATTAGTACTGATTTGCAAGTCATCAGTCTGGATTTTGAGATTGATGACAAAAACACTTTGATGACTTGGTTGGCAGTAAATGTTGTTGGTATTCTTGATTTGATACTTTTGTCCTCTATTTGTGTTTCTGATTGGTTTGGATTTTGTGATAGACTTTCTTCTCAAAAATTAAAATAGTAGTATTTTTGATAAAGCTGTAATTGCTCAAAGGTTGGATAGTTTTACTTGTATTATGCTGTAAAAATGAATAAATATATCCTTGGGTGAATTTTTGGAAATTTGACCACTTGTGGAATATGAAATTTCGATTCGATGCGCTCCCCTCCCCCTAAATTACTATGACCCCTGACATACGGTACTCGAATCAATCGAATCAATCGAATCGAATCGAATCGAATCGAATCAATCGAATCGAATCATCACGCACAGTTTTCTTTTTCGAAGGTAGTAGGAGTAAGGAGTACCAAGGACGTACGCAACCCACCATAAGGTACGATGCGTACGACGTACGGTTTGTCCCATACGTACAGTACGGGAGCAGTCCCGAACTCCTGGTATTTCGTTTTTCAATTCCCCTCCGATGATTCACTCTGACCAGACACTCACAAGCCCAGCACTAGCACTAGCACTAGCACAAGCCACTGGTCCCTGTCCCGATCGAGCGGCAAAGACAATCCGTCACACCGTACGGTACGCACCACGGCAAGCCGCAAAGGATGCCATTGCTCTTGGTCCCAACACCACCGAGACGGCCCAGAACCATCGTGGTTGTGTTGCTTTTCCTGCTCGCGTTGGCAATCGCAATTCTCGGCAACGGCAACGGCAACGGCAACTGCCTCGCTAGCTCCGGTCTGGTGAGCTCGTTTCCGGTTTCGATGTTTCCGCCCATTGGAAGAACGGCCCCGGCGAGGATGGCCAGGAGTCCCGGCGGGATTCCCGGTGGGATTCCGGGTGCATCTCCTTCCGCATCGACCCTTCTTTGGGGCGCCAACACAAATAGCGACGGAAACAGAAATGTCGATTCGCACGGCAGCAGCAAGAACAAACAAGGCCGGAAGGGAAGGAACCGTCCGAGCCAAATCAAAAACAAGAACACGAACACGAACACGAACAAGAACAAGAACAAGAACAACTCAAACACGAACAGAAACTCGAACAGAAACTCGAACAGACACAGAAAAGGCACCAACGACAAACCGACGGTGGCCATCATCGGGGGTGGTATTGCGGGCCTGTCCTGTGCCAAACACCTGCAGGCTTCGTACGACGTCACGGTGGTAAGCCAATGGGATGCAATTCAAAGCGATGCAAAACGATATGCAAAGACCGATCCGTAATCTGCGTTGCGTTGCGTTGCGTTGCGTTGCGTTGCATTCGATTTGATTCGACAACGAACCCTGTGCATCTTGGGCATACATTCTATCTCTCAAATCCTCTCTACTCTGTTGCTCCGCGTTGCGTTTGTGATTTGTGATTTGTGGTTTGTGGTTTGTTCGATCAGTACGATACGGGGCGGCTGCGGCCCGGGGGCAGGGCCTCGTCACGGCAGCCCAGCGACCCGGCCGCCAGAGACGCGAAGCAGGGCTATCCGCTCCTGTCCCGGTTTCGGTTCGACCACGCGGCGCAATTCCTCACGCTTGCACCGGCACCCGCATCGGCATCCAACACCAACACCAGCACCAACACCAGCACCAACACCGCCAAAGCCGTGCGCCACTGGAAGGACGACTTTGACCGGCAAGCCCGGGATTGGATCAAAGAGGGGGTCATCTCGGTGGCCCCCCCAAACACCATGTACGTCTTTCAGCGGAGCCGCAACACCGATACCGATACCGAGACCGAGACCAACACCTGGAAACCAGCGTGCCTCAACCCGAGTCGTGACTCGGACACCAAAAGCGGCTCACCAGCCTTGGAGACTCAATTCTGTTACCCAACGAAGGGCATGTCCTCGCTGGTGGAGGCCCTAGTGGCGAGCGGGAGAACCACCAGCGGCACCGGTTTTGATCTCAGGCAGGACGTCTGGATATCCCCGTCCAACGGCGTGAGGCACGACCGCAGCGAACACCAGTGGGCCGTAAGAGGGGCCAAGGGGGAGCCAACGGCCTTTTTCGACCACCTCGTCGTGGCCCACAACGGAAAATGCGCGGACCGTCTCATGAGCAAGACCCCGGCGAGGGACGTCCACCGGCTGCTCCGGACCAACTTTAACGACCGCGTTCCTTCCAGCGGCGGACAAAAAATGACCCTCAACAGCATCTACAGCCTGACCGTCTGCCTTCGGAAAGAGGACTGCCAGAACGGCGACAACAACAAGGACAAGGTCAAGGACGACGACAAGGACGACGACAAGGACGACGACAAAGACAGCGTCAAGGACAGCGTCAAGGACGCTCGGAACAGCGCTAGTGGAGACGCAGACTCGTCGGTTTCTGCACCCCGTGCAACAACCTTTGTCGGTGGCTTTGTGCTGGACCATCCCAAGCTAGGACTAGTGACCTGCCAGACCAACAAGTATCCAACGAAAGCGTACCGCGACGACGACGACGACGACGACAACTCCAAAATGGAAGTCTGGACCCTCCTCTCGACGGCGTCGTTTGCGAAGAAGCACAAGGCACCCCAGGAATTTCTGCCCGAGGACGTCGTCCGGAACGTAACGGAGGAGCTCATCGGCTCTCTCGAGGAAGACATTCTATGCGGCTTTGGCGACGAAGCCAACACGAACGCCTCCCACGAAACAAACGGACCGGCGCGGCCTCCGCGGTCGTCCACCCGCTGGAAGGACCGGATCCTGGAATCACGGCTGCAGCTCTGGGGGGCTGCCGTTCCCCTCAACGTGTGGAAGGGGGGGGATGGACCGCTTTCGTCCGGCTCCCACACCGGATTTCTCTACGATCCGGGGCAAAAGGTAGGGGCCTGCGGAGACTGGTTGTTGGACGCGTCCATCGCCGGGGCGTGGACCAGTGGCCGGCGGCTGGCACACCACCTGGTCGAGGAGGAAAAGAAACGCGGCCCGGAGAGGAACCCTCCACAACGAGAACGAGAACGACAACGAGAGCGAGAACCATCGTCACTCGTGGGATTCCACAACGGAAGGTTCGAGCCCTCGGCGCGGGTGAAAAATCTCGGTCTTGCCTCGCTGGACGGTCCGATGAACGAGGAATCGGGCGGCGGGAACAGGAAGAAGCAGAGGAACAACAATGCCGGTGCTGGTGGGAGGGGCCACCACACGAAGAACGCCAAAGCAAACCACGAAAGAAACAGAAACAGGCGCCGACCAAACAGGAACGAAAAACGAAGCGCCCAGGCCCGGAGCAAGGAACACTCGGGATCTTCTCCTTGACGCGATTCATTCGAGGAAAGGGACGGGCAACATTGGTCGAAAAAGAACAGACGAACTTAATATCACCTAATATCTGCACAGCACAGCATAGCATAGCATAGAATGGGCGAACCGGAAGAAGAACAAACCACGGCCAGTTTTGTCGCAGCTGAAGTTGGTGGCAACTGCCGTTCGACGGGCAATGATTAATAGAACAAAACATAACAAAACAACCCAACACAAATACTACGAAAACAGGGCCTACAGAGCTGAGGAAGCAAGACGCATGCGTTGCGGCCTTCCTGCTATCACCCTCTCTCTCCCGTTTCCTAGAGCCGACGGTGTATTCCCGTGCGCGTGTGGTACTCGTCTCGCAAGAGTTGTGCCTGGTTCGTAGATTATCCCATCGAAACTGCTGCAACTAAGCATTTTTATTTCACGCAACAGAAACAGGAGCCGGAACCTCAAAAAACGCGCTTTCCTTACTATGCGTATCCTACAGCACGATTGCGGTGCACCTAGAAACGATCTACTAGAAGCTGCGTGACGACCGATAAAACTGCAATCCTATCTATCCAAACAAACATGTGCATTCAAACACAACGCGAGAAGCAATCCAGAACCCGTAGTTGTTCCGGTACCAAACGAAACAAGAGTTTCGTGCGGTGTAGCCCCGAATGGAAAAAGAAAACGGATGCAATCGTTTCACGTTCAACCCGGATCATAAATGGCAACCAAATTGTCGCGTTATGAACTGTTGCTGTTGCTGTATTCGTCGAGGCCTCGTTTCCGCCCCCGCGAAGAATTGTTGGGAGAGCAGCAGTCAAAGGTACAAAGATCCGACGATCCGGATTGCAAAAACAGATCCGTGCTGCTGTCGCTGTACCGTTGACTTGTTTTATCGTTGGCGGTGGCCGCAACAGCGGAAGAAGGACGAAGTGTTTTGTCACCTCCGCGATTGATGACTTGGTGTTTGGCTTTCGAATACTTGAATTCTCGCACGAGGTGTTCGATCTTCTCGTAAATCTTGTCTGCGTCCCGGAGTTCGGTCCACCAGCAATCCTGGTTGTTCCCGAGTAGCTGCTGCCACACCAGAAACCGCCCCCCCGCCTGTCTCGTTTCGTCCCGGATTTTCGTCACTATCGTTCGGGTGGCGCGGGCCGTGGTGAAGGCCTCCGACTCTTCGTACAGAGCCTGGATGCGACTGCGGAACAGGGCGTTCCCCGGGTGGTGCTTGGCCGCAGTCCCCTTGCGGAAAACAACGTCGGTGAGCCCCGGGCATTCCACAATGGTGCCGGTACCCATTCCGCCCTCTTCCAGGAGTTGGAGAATCCTCATCCATTGTTTCGTGTGCTGTAACTTAACGCTGCCGCTCCAGGTGATTGGCATCTGATCCGTGCCGATCCCGTGCGACTCGAGGGCGTAGCGCAGCTCCACCGACTCGCCTGCCGAACCAAAAGCCAAGAACCGAAATGCGTCGATCGCAGAAAACAAAATGTTTCGTCCGTCGATTGTGAACACGACGAGAACGGGACGACACGAATCAGATCCAATCCAATCCAATCCAATACTAAAACGCGTCGTACCAGAATGCGACGCTCGTTGCGCAATCCATACAAGTGCAATTCTATACGACACTGCAAAACGCAACGCAACGCATCACAAACCAACGCGCCTACACCCACGCACCGATGTGAAACCTTATCCGCGAAATCCTCTCCCTGCCGAAGGCGACGGCCCACATACCCCGCACAAAACGAAAAAAGGGCGTGTCGGGGGTGCATATGTGAATGGCGCTTATGCGGAGTGGCATGATGTCGAGAATATTCACCCTGTTCCTCTCCGGAGCGGACTTCAATTCGAAGGAAAAGTCCAGAAACCACAAAATCCCTACGAATCCCTTTCGCTGGAGATCGGCGTCGTCGTTGCTGGCAACGTACGCAAAGTACAAGAGTGTTTTTATCTGGCACGGACGCGGCACACCGAACAGAGTTTGAACGCGGTTCGACGTGGATAATGTGAATGTCCAAGAAGGGAAGGAACGAAAAATGAACAATGTACAGATGAGACGGATCGGTCGTCGTCCGTTGTTTCACGCCGACCGAACCAGAACCACAAGCGCAAGCGCAAGCGCAACACACCGTTGCACACACGACGGCCTTTGCGACGCACGTACCCTGATGAATTCCGACAGCTCCTCCATTTGCTTGCCCGCCAGTAGCACGAGCACACGGCGGCCATAGCGGTCCCGAAACGGCAGAAACTGCGCCAGCCCCTTCCGCACCGTCCGAAGCTCGGACGCCGTGAAGTCGCTGAGGCGGAAAGGGCGCACCAGGGCGCAAGGACCGAAGCACTCCAGCGCAAATTCCAGAAAGAGGGCAAGCCGGAGGGCCGCTTTGCGCGCATCGAAGAGTTCCGCCCTGAGAAAACGCAGGCGAAAATCGCGGGTGTTGACGTAGGTAAGGGCCTGCTGCTGGCTCTGCAGGTATGCCTCCTTTCTGGCCACCGGTAGCCGGTGGTCGAGCTCCAACGCCAGTTGCTTCAGTGCTCGGTCCAGGAAGGCCTGGTTTTCTTCCGGAGCGAGGCACCGGACGCCATGTGCCTCCTCGTGTATGGCGTTCCGGTCTTTGAGCGATAGCTTCAGGAGTTCCTCGGAAATGAATGTCTCGACCGAGTCTGGGCCGTCCTTGTATTTCTTGTAATATTCCCTGTCGTAGACGAGAGATGTCGATGTCGATGTCGATGTCGATGTCGATGTTGCTACAGCTGAATCGCCGTCCTTGTTCATGTTGCGTTTGATAACGTGCACGATTGCTGTGCTTTCTGTAGCAGAGACACGAGTGGAAGTAGCAGCAGAAACACCGAGAGCAGTGAGGCTGTCATGCTTTTGGCACTCGACTGTCGTGAATCTGTAATCAGAGTCAGCAATATTGAATCCATGAAGGGTGGACTCGGATGGGTAGCAATTGTGAGACTATACCACGTAGTAAATCACGAGTGAATAGTGAGTGACAGCAAACAGCGCATACACTCAACACTCAACTCACTCTTTATTGTAAACACGTAGTTATACCACACTAAAGAGCATGTACACATTCGCAGGTTTACACATTCGCAGCAATTCGCAATTCTCATTTTTATGTTTATGCTGCCGTGTCAAAGGAAACCGGAAGGGGCATAAGCAGGAGTACCGTATGAGCATTAGTATGTAGTTAGGTACAATTTTTCAAGTCAAAAGATCTGTAATATGTTTTAATACGTGGTTTACAATATTGTAAAGAGTGAGCTTATTAGTCATTTTGAGGGCTGCCAAAATGTTTACTTCTAGTCAAAGGAGTCGGAGATCTGCTTGATTCACGTCCGTAGAAAAGGAATCACAATTAGTAATAGTGACCTCGCTGAATAGAGAACTGGCACGGTACAACTGCACATATTTTACATACGGTAACTACTAACTACATGGTACGAACGCTACGGTAGGGCGAAAGGTATTCTTAGTTCGTACTCGTATGTGCGTACGAGTACCGGTACGTAAATCCATTCATAGTACAGTAACTGGTACTGTACCTCAAATTCATAATCATTCTTTTGTTCTGAACTCGAACCGCTTTCAGTCAACGATTGTCATCACTGATTTCAGTAGGTACGTACGGTACAAGGTACTTGCTACCAGGGGTCTCTCGTACACTGACAACCGACAACACCTATTCGACGCATCGGGAAATTTGGATATACAATGGCCAACACAAGTAGCTCGTGCCACTACGAGTACTCGTACTCTTACCCATGCTTGTAGATCAACGAAACAAACCCGAACCAAACAATAGAGTAGTAGTACAATGCAACACCATGGCGTCCTTTCGTTCGTCCGTGCGCTGGCACTCCTCGCTGCTGCCCTTGCGCAACCCATCCTCTCGGGACGCAGTGAAGCAGAGGCGGAACCGGGACACCCGGAAGGAACCGCGGCTCGAGGCCACTTCGAAGCCGCTCCGCCCGTTCCCCGTCTGACACGGGAAGCCTTCGACAATCTGCCGGTGCCCGGGAAATACCTTCTCCAGCTGGTGCCCAAAAGCATGCCCCTGGACGAACGCGAGAGCTTTGAGGAGTTTTGGGACCTGCTAGCAACGCGTGCCCCCGAGTCCCAACCCTTTCTCATGAGCCGCGTGGACTGCGGAAGGGAACCCGGCTTTTGCCGGGCACTCGTCGGTCCACACGTCCTCGAGCACATGGAATCGACGAAGACGTTTAGGCTTCTTTCCACGGAGTTTTCGGACGACGGGAGGATCGGGATAAACGTCTTCCATCAGGACTCATTGGATCCCAACACCGTCAACACATGGGTGAGGTACACCATATCCAGGCGTCAAGAGTCCTTGTTGATGGGCGGTGACGATTTGCCGGAGAGCAGGAGTGGCGGCAGAAAGAACATAGCCCTGCTGATGCTGTCCGTGGACGGCCTCGGGGTGCGATCCGATATCTGGTGTCGTTTCCTTGGTCTGGCGGCCGAGCAGGATGTCGATGTCCACTTGTTCCTCCACGATAAATCCAACAGCATCGGAGACGGACCACTCTGCCCCATGGGTACCAATATAGGGACCAATGTCCTCCATGCTTTGGCCAATCGTCGCATTTTTGCCATTCCCGGTAACATGGTGCTCGGCACACAATGGGGGTCCGCGTCGCTCCTCAAGGCGATCGTCTATTTGCTGCGCTATGTCGTGTACCATCCAGAATTTCGCGGAGCCGATCGGTACTTTTTGGTCAGCGAAAACAGCGTCCCTCTGGTGGATCCCAAAACGTTGCTCCGCATCGTGTCGGGTCCCGGATACAACGGCATCGACGACAACGGAAACAGGCAAACCCTTAGCGTCTTTCAGGAACTTCTTCCGGGCCAACCATCGCCCACCGAAAGGATCGACCGGTACAGGCGATTGCGGCCTCGATACGAACGCGAGCGCGAGCCCGAGGAAGGCTCGAGAGGGAAAGGACCACGAGGGGAACAAACCACAGACCGCGCAAGGACGACGACGGGCCACGAAACACCTCCGCACCGTCTCGATCTTGCCCTCTCCGACTTTTCGATCGTCGAGACGTGGATGGTTCTGGACAGAGCCGCGGGGGCCTGGTTCGCCGCGCACGACTATTTTGCGGAATTCGAGCTCTCCTATTCCGCCGAGGAATCTTATTTCGTGTCCCTCTGCCGCAGGTTTGGCCTCTCGCACCGACTCGCAAGCGCGGCCCACCACACCGATGCTGCTCCTGCCGCCGGCAGCGAGCACGAACGACCAGAACGACCAGAGGAATCTCACCCAATGTACACCCAATGGAGTACGGACTTTGGGACAAGACATCCCGACACACTCACAGAGATCACGCAAGAGACGCTGCAGCGGTGGGGCGATGGTCGCGACAAAAAACACTCCTTTTTGTTTGCACGGAGGATCTCAGAACAGACAAGAATCGATTTGCCATGGATCAAGGATGGCGCGGATGCTGCCAGTGGCGTTGCCACGACAGGAACCAACCATCACGTGACCTCCAATGAATTATAAAGGTCGCTGCCGACACTGGTAGGTTTTCGATATGAACTGTAATAGCAGGGCAATGCAATACCACATGGCCCCAAAAAATGCCACAATCAGAGAATCTTTCCATGAAAATAAAATGTCTTCAATGCAAACAAGAACCAAATTGTGTTAAAAGAATTGTGATTTTCTGACTGCGATTGTTTCCAAACACTACAACTAGGAGTAGTAGTAGTACTATCTCTGCTCTGTTTTAAATGTTGCTACAGGAAACAAAAGTACAAGCCTCACCAAATCATTAAGAAGTCTCCAAAGGCAAGAAAAAAATGTCAGATTGACAAGAGGATAGACGAGTGCTCAGCATTCGTCTTGACCTGGTTTTGTGTACTCGTACTCGTACGTACTCCGCTGCACTGAAAAGATAATTTTGTTTTCATTCATTTTTACCTACCACAAGCACGAACCAGGTACGAGTAAGAGTACGCTATGTACGTACGTAGATTGAAAGGTAGCATACGTATGCGTATTTGGAGCGAGTAGTACGATACGATTACCGTACAATCCGGTACTAGGCACCTGTACCTGTACTGTTCCCACGACCGATGATGTCAGAAAGGAAAAACCAAAAACACCCAACACAAACACAACTGGCCAGCGGTCCGTTGCGGAACAGAACCCCCACTCCCTTGGAATGCCGAGCAGCAGTTCGGATTCTAGATCCCCCCAGACGATTGCCTTGCCGATAGTTCCATAGATCCACAGATCCGTGCACGGAACCGAAGCGAACCCACTCATCCACTCTTCTTTTTGGAAACAAGACGAACAAAGATGCCGTTGCAAGAGCAACCATTGCTCCGTCGGGCATCCGGCACGGGCAAAAGCACGAGCACGAGCACGAGCATCGGCACCGGCATCAGCATCCACCGCCGAGCGTTCTTCTGGATGCTGTATGCAGCGGTTTCGGCATCGAGCCTCGTGTTGGAAAGCCGGGCATGGACCACGACGGCAATGGCGGGGGCGTCCTTTTCGAACAGCATTGGAGCACCTGGTTCCTTGTCCAAGTCTTTGTCCTTGTTTGCGTCCACTTCTGCGTCCACTTCTGCGTCCACTTCTGCCCTGGCGGCAACGACCACGGAAGACCCCTGGTTTTCGTCTTCGTCCTCTTCGTCGTCTCCGGCCTTGGCCACCGAAACCGAGAGTGCTGGCAGCGTGGAGCGGCTCAAGATCCAGCTGCTACAGCTGGGAGCGGCGCTGGACCGCGGGCAGGCCTACAACCCAACCTCTGGTTCGTACTACGAAGAAAACATGAAGGTGGCGCGGGACAAGATCGGCCAGCTCCTGGACGCCGCGGCGGATGCCGGGGATGCCGATAAGGACGACGATGTCGCCGACGACATCGCCGACGGTGCCAACCAGCCCCCCACCCTTCCGAGGTCCCTCGCCGACATGGACGGAGAGTGGGAACTCGTCCTGTCGACGGTCCCCCACGGAATCTTCCGGAGCTCTCCCTTCTTTCTGGCCATCCAGGAATCCTACGAGTACGCCGAGTCCAAGACCTTCGAGGACGGGACCAGCAAGGCCGGGCTCTTCTTCAAGCTCCACGAGCTCCAGACCTGCTCGTGGGGCGTCTCCAAGGTCGGCCGGATCGCCCAGCACATCGACGCGCAGGGGGGCTACCTCTACAGCACCTTTGACACCTCCCTGTTTTCCCTGACGGTCGTCCCGGTCCTCGGTTGGTTCAAGCTCCTGCCGACCTTTGGGGGCTGCGTCGTCACGGCGGCCTCGTGCACCTGCTCCGGAAAAGAGATGCTGCTGGAGCCCGACACCTTTGGCGGCCGCAGGGTTTCCCGCCTCGACATGGTGGTCGACTACACGACCTCACGGAAAATCGAGGGACTCGACGGCCTCCCGCTGCTGGGGGATTTCATCTGGAGGATCAAGGTGCCCGTGGGGGCCATCTGGAAGCTCCTCCCCTGGAACAAGGGGCGGGAGGCAACCTGCAAGGTCTACGTCAACTACTGCGACGGGGATTTCCGCATCGTCCAGGACGCGGACGGGGAGTTTTTTGTCTACACGAGGCCGGTGGTCCCGCGGCCGCTGGAGGTGTTTTGAGAAACAACAGACCGACCGTCCGATCCACGAATCGAAACGAAAACGAAAACGAAACGAAACGAAACGAAGCAAAGCAAAGCTAGCGGGCAGTGACGGAACGACCGAACGCGGCGCGAGAGAACCGCGTCGTGCCACCAATGTCCTTGGTGCTTGCAATCCTTCTCGCAGCTAGAGTAGAACAGTATTAGTATTATTCATTCATTACCAATGTCCGGCCTGCCAGCCCTTTGCCAAACCAACGACCCCGAGCCGTTTCGCGTTCTTCTTCGAAAGCGGCTCGGGAGGAAAACCAACACGCCGGTCGACCGTCCCAGACGGTGTGTCGCTGCCGGTTCGAACGACGGTGCGTGCACGGATGCATCTGTGCTGCCGCATGCCTGCTTGTTCGAAGCCATAGACGTGCGTGCGTGCGTGCGTGCGTGCGTTCCTGCCCCCTTGCATCGGTGTTTGCCGGCCGAGCCGTCTTCCGTCCCGTCCCGTCGTGTGAGGGAGAACAGAATGAGCTGCGGAGGTACGCACCCCGCTGCTGTAGCATCGCACCATGCCCATCCAAAGAATCACCAATTGGGTTCTGTGTGAGGACAAAGCACAGTTACGGGTAGCCAAGTGCACACGGTGCATTCAGTTTCGCATTTCACGGGAGAAAGGAGAACGACACCAAACACCAACGTACGTTACGTAGGGTAGGTATCGTACATAGGCACAGGGTCCCAACGGACAGGCCTAAATGCCCATCAAGGGACCTACTACCGAACTGTACGGTACGGTACCGTACTCGTACCTCCGCATTCCACGCATAACCTGTAACGCATGCATACAAGTAGTGATGCTATTCGCTATTAGTTTGATTGGACTGAACATCGTCTTTTATAGTCCCACTAAAAAGCATTACCAAGAACGACTTAAATGTCTAACATGGAGGAGACCACGAGGGTTGACTTGTCTCGTTCGACTTCGTCCTCTTCTTCTGATTCTCGCCTCCCCCCGCTGCTGATCTTTAACCACAACCCAAAGGCCGGCGGCGGATCCATCAAGGACGTGCTGAATGAACTCAAACCAATCAAGATCATTTGTAAATGCAAACCTTTCAATGCCAGAGGGGATGCGCGCAGAAAGAACTTGTGCTGTCGGGAAGCCGATACCGTGGATGCTCGCAAATCGGACGCTTTGTTTGTCAACGTCGATGAATTTTCCAGGACGCCCTTGTATCTAATGCAAAATGACGAAAGCATCGGACGTTCTAGCTTTGTCATCGGATCGATCCGAGAACCCTGCTCGCAATATCTGTCGCTGTGGTCGTACGGCAGCCAAGGGGAAGGATATTTTATGCAAAGATTTATTACAAAAGAACCCGCCAACCTTTATTACGGACAGAATCCACCCTATTTCAACACCTCGGAGGACGTGGAACGCTTCCGGAATTGGATGAGTCACGACCTTGTGACCGGTCTTGTCGGAGATCGTATCTGGGCGAGCTACGCTACTAGCTTAAACAAATGGAAAAACCCTTCCGAGGGCGTCCTACAAAGTGTTGACTGCTGGGTCGTGGTCGAGAACTTTCGGGAAACGCTTTTGAATTGCCTCCGTGCCTATGAGACAAAGGGTGGACTGGTGGACTGGAGCCTTCCGACGGTTTCGAATCTCGTGCGACAGGAACAAGAATTCCAGAAAGCGGAAAACGAGCGGCACAACAGCAGGAGACTCTACACCAACAGCAAAGACAAGAACGATGCGTTGCACGATCCCCGTTCCAAGCACCACAGTCCCTGCGCGATGTATTTCGACAACAGCACCGAGCATTTGGTGCAAGATGGAAAGGAAGCATTTGTGTACGGTCTCTTTGGATACAAGGGATGCTGCGAACCGGGAAACTCTTTCCTGGGGGCGAGAACGGCAAGTGCGGTTGACGAGGAAACCACCACGAACACAGGAAACCTCCCGGCGCCCCCAAACGTTTGGTCGAACCCCCTTGAAATTGCTCTCAGCCTCGGGCTGGTTGCGGTTGCCTTGTACTTTGGGTTGGCACGGAGAACTACCGGTAGAAACACCACCAGCACGACCCAAAACAGTATGGTTGTTGCTGCTGGTAGCAAGAGTGCGAGTACCGACTCGGAAGAACGCGAGCAAGAACTTCAGCAATTCCTTCCAAAGCACTAGTTCGGCAAGCGCAGCAAGGAAGGAAACAGGTAGTGCCATAGTGCCCACCGCCGTCACGAGAAGGAGCCAGCAAGACGGAAGGACGCACGTGGGTGGGCCATCGGGCGAGATCGTTTGGGCCGAGGCGTGGCGACGCGCAACACGGAGTTCCAAGGAACAAGTCTTTCCATGGCTGTCCGGTCCGGGCCGGGCCGGACGGTACAAACCAGTTTCCGTCGAGGCAACTGATCACACAGATCGCACTGCCTTACTTCTTGGGTGGAGCGCTGGTCCGCGACTCGAGCTGGCACGGCACGGTTGGTGTACTAGTACGGACTGGTGCTGCACCATCTCCTCAAACAAAGAAAAACATCTCTCCTTCGTCGAAGGCAGATGCGATACTCCTCCTCCTACTGTTTCTCCTTCGTGGAAGGCAGATGCGATACTCCTCCTCCTACTGTTTCTATAGTCGTAGTAATACCAACAGTTACAGTAGAGCAACACCTTCGCTTGGGTTACAAATACGATGTGTCAAACAGTGAGAGGACAACATCTGGTTTAGAAATTCTCCTTCCTTACGGTTCATACTTGTTGACCTGTGAAATGTTGATCCTTAGTTTCCAATATAACGAAGTAGTAACGTACTGTGGTATTTTTACTACCGTAGCTGTAGCTCTAGGTGTAGCTCTAGGTGTAGCTCTAGGTGTAGCTCTAGGTGTAGCTCTAGGTGTAGCTCTAGGTGTAGCTCTAGGTGTAGCTCTAG